TGCGATCCACTCCGCGCAAAGTCGGATGCCTGCAGGGGAAAGCATTGGGGTCCAGGACGGCTTACGTTCATCTGGACCCTTCAGTATAATCATATCATATAGTATATTATAGCCTAATGTCGTTTTGCAAAAAAATTTATTACACTCCACTATAAAGCCCATTACGGTATAGTATAGTATGATATGCCATATTGCCTACTATAGTTCCCTACACGCTGCGGCACTGCGCCAAAAGGAGCTGGCGGGCCTGGTCAGAGCCAAGGTCAGAGGCGTCTAAGGCACTCGGCGTCTTCTTGCCCTTGGACCCCTGCCGCGGATTTCGGGTTCAGGGTTTAGGGCTTATAGACCCCTGAACCCCGAGTTCTGCACGCAAAAGATCGGGGGAGAGGTGCTGGATCGAGGTTCCGGAGCACAAAAGCAAAACAAGCCTGAACCCTGGCAACAACCAGCGGCCTTTTGAGAGTTATGTAGAAGCTTAGTATGATGTCACGCACTGCAAGAACATCTGTCATGTGCTGACCTAACATCTACTACAAAAGAGTGTTATACAGCAGAAGTGTCCTAGCTTTCATCTCCCTCGAGGGCTCCTCAACCCTAAACCCTCATCCCGCAAAACGGACATCCGGCCCTGTCTAAACCCTGCGCCCTAAACCCTTAAAGTCCTATAAACCCTCACACCTCAACGGAGATCCGGGGCCCTAAACCCTAAACCCCTAAAACATCGAGGCCTTGTCTTTCGTCTTTTTCGTGGCCCTTATGATCAGCTTTTCGAGGCGGGCGAACTTGCTCTCTTCGCTCTGCTCGTCAGGCTCCTAGGAAGCTCCGTTCTCTCCGGTACCTACTATATAGGGCCCTAGGGGCTCTGGTACCCTATAGCAGGTACCTGGGGAGGTTAGGGGAAGCTCCAAAGTCGCCTGTTTTCTATGATCGTCTTGTGTTCTTATGCAGTATGGGACGATGTTCTATCGAATCACCCTGGGTTATGTTACCTGTTACCTTATCTAATCTTACGTTGTACCGTATCGCGTGGCTTTGAACCCTAAGCCCTGACACCCCCTGTACACGCATAAAGTGCTTCGACCATCTGAAGTGACAGATTGTCGAGGCCCAGGAAACTACTCCAACATGCACACGTAGACGGAACTCATGCTCGAAGATTTAGCCGTTTGTGTGCTTTCGGTTTGGCGACTGATGTCTTTGACGATTCCAAGACAGCATGCTAACTGCAACTATACAGGTTCTTACGTAAAGGAACCCTTAATTAAAGGCACCCTTAAGGACAACACCCTGCCAACTAAACTTCAAAGGTACCCTTAGGGTACGTTTAGGGAGTAAGATGCGATTTCGCGCATGTTGACCCCCAGAGCAAGCCACAAAGTTTGCATCTCGAAGACGCCCTGCATGCAAAGATTGAATCAGCAACCGTCCATACAGGTCAGACTGGTTCTAGTCCAAACTGGCTCGGAGTTTCAGAGACACCTCACACCGATGATCGAGGCGCTGCTGGTTATGTGGCCGCTTGCATGATACAAGCGAGTGCTCAACATCGGCTAAGCCAAGCCTGGATGCAAACGCAAATCCTTCGCCCTGCTTACGCCGTGCAAACCGTAAACTCTAGACTGTAAACCCGATATCGGCGGCTGACTAGGCTGCACAGAGCGAGCACTCTGACCATACAATCCGGGTCATCTATTGGTGATACCTGAAGGAAGCGTCTTAGAGGAGTCTGAAAGGGGTTCAAGAGGAGTCTTGTGCAAGTTCCACGACAGACCTATAAGGCTTCTGGAAAGGCTTTTCCAAGACAGCAAAGCCGGGCTGACAACAGCCAACGCCTCGTTGTGGCTTTAGGAAACAGTGCCACAGATGAACAAGCAATCCCAGGAATAGGGCAATTTAAACCCGAACCTCCCAGTTCTCCTTCAAGAGTGGTCAGGGTCTGCAGGCCTCAGATTCTGGCCTCGGCCCTGACTGCTTAGGATCTAAACTAGGGTATCTGGTTTTTTAATCTCTCAGAGGCGAGTCCTGTGGCCAGGGCGTTGACGGAGCAGTGGGGCCACCGTATCTTTTGATGATGTCCTGTGCCAGGTCTCCCTCTCTCAAACTCTTACTGCGGTGCAACCGGCTTCGGCTTCATTCTGAAACTCTCGCACTTTTTTCCCACCCGCCCAGCTGACTAACTCTCGCACTTGGACAAAAAAAGGTGCGTCATCCAACACCAACACGATTAAAGAGCGTGCTGCATGCACTTCCGCAATGCCCTTAGCCTTCTTGGACTCGGAGTTCGGGCACTGCCGCAACTTTGGGCCGCTTATCACGGAACACCGAATCGGAAACCCATCCTAAACCCTGAATCCTAAACCCTAAACCATAAATCCTAAACCCTAAACCATAAACCCTAAACCCTTCTTGAACCCAGACTCTGCTGATCAGCCCTACAACCTGAACCCTGAACCCAAAGCAGGTGACCCCGGTTTAGGGATTCCTGGCAAAGTTCCGTCGCCAAGCTTACATTTCTTTGCTCCTCTCGAAGCCCAGCGAAAAGCTTGAGATCCCTTGAAGAATGAAGGGGCGATTAATTACTAATACTAATACTCATCCCGATACTACTACTAATACTGACACTACCAATACTAGTACTAATTGGAGCCCAAAAAGGCCTAAAACCACCAGCCAATCAGAGTCCGGAGCAACCCTGGATTCTGAAGCAGAACCTCTGGGTTGATTTTAACATGTGGGTTGATGCAGAGACTCTCTCATTCCCCCGGGCAAAGTTCAAAGGGCTGATATGGGTTTAGGCATACATGGGTACTAACTTAGGGTCCCCTTCTAGGTCCCCAAAATAGTACGGCACCCTTATAAACAGGACCCTAAAAGGGGACCCTAACTTCGAGAACTGCCCACATGGCAACCAAGCTCCTGGCCTCTGTGACCATGTTGGCATTTGCAGGCTCTAGCACCTGGATGCCGCCAGCCATGCCGACCTCAAAATGGTAATGCCAGTAAGAATCGGAATATGAATAGCAATACTAATAATAGTAATACTTATCACAACAACCACACTAGTAATGCTAGGAATAAGAGCAATAAGAAGAACAATCGTAGAGAGACCTCCAAGTTCTTCAATCGTTCAGCGCCTCCCTGGTCTGACATGCGCTGGTTGCAATGATGGTGGGGATGACCACGTGATGCAAGCGAAGACAAGGGCAGTTGGAAACTCATGGCAGCGTAACTGCTCAGCTATGAGGCTAGGTTTTGAAGTTTAGAGGGTTTGACAGCACAAGCAGGGTCGTCTTTGTTTGGGTTTTAGCATGCGACTGTCCAACGTAAGTGGAGGTATGTTGGACATTGTCTTCGTAGGCGAGCTCAGTCTCTGGAGCTTGCTTCGCTCTATGCGCCTTCGTGCATGGAGGAAGCCCTGCCAGCGGGAGGGCCTTTGGAATCACATGCTCACTTGGGCTTCGCAAGCCTGCCAAACCATGGGTCTACTGCCCGAGGGGCCAGCTCAATCGGAAGACATCGCTGAGTTAGCACAGGATAGGGGTTTGCTGGAATGATAGGATCCACTTGCGATGCTGACCACTGATGACCTTGGCTCTTATCTGCCACAGATCTGGGAAAGCTGGCGGCATCCTCTGCAGGCTGCTGAGTTTACAGGGTGGTATCTGCTTGTCTTTGTCGTCCCGTATCAAGGCAGTCTCAGGGCAGTCGTGCTGGATAGAGAGGTTGGAGCGGCCGGTTTCCAAGTAGGTACTCTGATTCAGGCCTGCAGCTACTGTCTCATGACGAAGCAAGTCTTTAACATTGATGTCTTGGTGGATCCCGACATTCAGGATTGTGTGCTGTTGGAGCTGCCACATGTGGTCAGGGAGGTTTGGCTTCGACCTTCGGTGGTCGTAACGTGGAGTGCCTGTCCTAGGGAGTGGAGTGCTTGCGTGCTAACGTTTCGGGCCTCGGCTGAAGAACGGCAGAGGAGGCAGTGCTGGCAGTCATCAAGTCCGGTTTCAACAGGTTCTGTTCCTGTGGGTTGATCCCTACAGTGCCGGGGAAGACGACGTTGCATCCCACCGCGAAGGAGATGGGAGTAAACTAAACCCTCAACCCCAAAGCGAGAGGAAAAGGGTGCAAAGCTCGCCACCTGGGCGACTTCAAGTGGCGGACTGAAAGACCTGAAGTCCTAAAGCCCCAGCACCCACTAACGAATGGAATGCAGCGGTCTTTATAATGAGAATAGGGTTTCAGGCTCCTTTATCGTATACGTATGGTCGAAGAAATCGGCCCCTCCGGCCTCCGAAAGCAATCTTGAAGAAGCCTTACAGAATGCCTTCTGGTAACTTTTTACAGTAACTCTTAGAGAAGACGAGGGGCATCTCCCTCGTTGAACTCGAGTGGGTCCTCGAAACCTTGGCCATTGAGCGCATTGAAGAAGGGGTGTAGACCTCTTATGGGCTCTTACTTCGTGGGGGTTATATTCCCTCCGACCTGGCAAGGACGAACCCACTTGGAGTCTGGATATAGGGCTTCAAATCAAAAGAGAGCTGTGGTTTTCGGCTTGAGGAGTGCAGGGTGTTAGAGGGTCTCAGGTTTTGAGGGTCGGGGCCTCTGGGTTTCTGGGGGTGTCCGGGGCACGGTTGTCTCAGGAACTGAGTCCCCTAGCCACAAAACCGCCACCCTTCCGTTAGGGCGGGAATCTGTGAGCACCCAAAAAAGTGAGAGGTTGAACCCGACACCCAAAGGCTGGTTCAGGGAGTGTGTCGGGAACTCGCTTTGAGGCTCTAGTCGCAGATGGCATGCCATCAATGCCTCCGTGCTTGCCGAAGTTGTAGAACAGCTACAGCACGCTACATGTTTCGTACAGAGCATAGAATGGTAGACTGAAGTACTATATGATGTAGTATACTATCAGGATATACATTCATTAACTGACATCAACGTAAATGTGCATCCCGTGAGCGTTGTTGGTTGTTTCTTGCACTAAACCCGCGCCGCGGAGCGGAGGTGACTCAGGAACTTGCTCCACTTTTTCCGGCTCATCTGGTCTATGATATCCGAGGTCACGCTGGCTCGGTTCCTTGGTGCAAGACGTCAGGTAGGGGAGGCTATACAGCTTCTTGCGCAGAATGGCTTCTCTGCTATACCGTGCTCAGCAGAGCATGTGCGAGTCACCGTGAGTCCCTCGTGACTGGAAAGGAAGGCCTCGCTGCCACAGTGCCCCGAACGTTCCGAACCAGCGAAAAATCAGAGACTGAAGCCAGCTGGGGATTTACGTTACGCCAGGCGACAGCCGACGGAATGAATTCTGAGGACATGGGTTTCAGGTGGCGAACCCACAGCTAGCTGACTTGATGAAGCTGAAGCGTCAGCCGAGCGAAGCCCTGCATGTCCTCGAAGATATCGCGATAGGACTGGTTCAGCTGAGCTACCTTGGGGGCCCGATCTGGTCTAGAGGATCGGAGTTTCGAAAGGTTGGGCGGATGCAGAGAGACGGTATACTCACCCCCCTTCCAGGCAGACCTGGACCCGCCTCAAAGTGGGTCTTCCACGCTTCCATGCCAGCCCGGAAATGCCGCAGTAGTCTTGAGTCCCTTTCTCAAGAATTACCTGTGAGCCTGACCCTGACGAAGGTGGATCGCCCCGGTGTTGTGGGCATGCCTGATACGGGGGTTCAAAGTGTTTGGGGATCCCCATTAGTATGCTATACCTTCACAGGGACGATCATTTACGAAGGGATAGTTTGACTCATCCTTCCGACCCAACCGTGGTAGCCGAACCCAGCAATCAAGTAAAAACCGGGTTAGATTCAGGAAACCCTGAACGCAAAATGGGAGTCCCGATGCGAGGCCGAAGCAGGAAGATCCTCATTATAATAACTCCTAGACGAGGCACCCCTACATGATAAGAAACCCCTTAACCCTGAAACCCTAAATCGCTGTAGCAGCCTTTGTTGCACCAACCCTAAACCCTGAACCCCAAACTTGTAGAAAAAAAGGACACAAACGAATGCCCAGGCGGTCGAGGCGACCAGGAGGTTCACTAGGAAGATGCTGATGACCTTTGGAGGTGGGCTTAGGGTTTTGTGGTCTACTCTAGGTTTACTAGGGACCGTAAGGGAATTTTGTATTCCTGTGCACTTCGGCGTCTGCAGCAGGACAGCCTGTTCCGGCTTTGGGGCTTTAGGCTCTCACAACTCGGACTAGCCAAGTCGAGGGTCTCTTGGTGCGCGGGTCGGAAGTGAAGAGTTCTTGAAGCTGCACCAGGTTTAAGGATTTACCGCTTTAGAGGCTTTGGGTTTGGAATTCATGGTGTACTTCGTTCGCCAGGCCCCCTAAAGCGCTCCGATCAGGGTTCCTACACCAGGAAGAAAGGTTTTGGACGGGTTTGGGGTGAGTATAAGAGTTTCATGAGGACTGCCATATCTATGATAACCTTTAGGCAGCCGGACACAGCCTAGGTATTCCAAGCCAGCAGGGTTCCGCACAGCATTACATCCACAACGGACGTCAGCAGTCCTGGCATGATGCCGCCACAGACGCCAGTGCCAATTCCTCTTCATGGCATTCCCCTTTTTTTCTGCCATCACCACCGTCGATTTCGAACTGGGCGATGCATGAAAGTCATATACGGCTGGCCATTAAGACCCACTTGCCGTGACAACCCTCGACCCATAGACCAGGAAGACAACCTCAGAAACCCTCAACCCCCCCGGCGCTTCATCATCCTGGATGGCCTAAGAGGATGGTGGCCAGCCCGAAGAGCGTGTTGTAGGCCGGCACTAGCTCAGTGAGCTGGTAAGTGGGAGAGCTGGCGCGACAGCGTCCTCGATCAAGGTGTCGGCTGCAGAGGCCGTGCCGGAGATGCCATTGCCGATCTTTGTGGCACCCGTCCCAGATGTGGAGACCATGATCACGGCAGCAACGCCGAAGGCGATGAAAAGAAGCTAGAGGATGCCGTTGAAAATCCTACCGGTGGCCCCCTTGTTCTGGCAGCGCAGCAAGCTCTGCAGAGGCACGGGCAGCACACCCAGCAGAGGACCCGCAACGCGGGTCAAGATCGCCAAAACCATAGCGAAGGCCTTTCCGGCCACAAAGCCCGAGTCTGCGATCTCGCTGAATCGATCAGCGATCTGTTGTCACCGTTCTGACGGGCGCTGCCCGCTTCTTCGGTGAGCCTCACGATGAAGTTGTCCTCTCCGGTGCCTTGTCCAACTAACACCCTATCGTCGTCGGCGGTCTGCCCGGCGGCCACCACAGGGACAGGAGCCGGAGCATGGCGGACCACAGATCTTTCAAACGCTGCTCTTATAAGGCTTATAGGGTTTATAGGGTTCCTGCAGGGATAGTGGCAGGCCCGTGCAAAGCTAAGCTGAAGAGCTTGTTTGGCTCCCGCACGGCTCAAGCATGGACTCAGCAGGTCCCTGAACTTCGCCGGCTCGTCTACTCAAGCTCCCGTAACAGGACTCGGGTTCATACGATGCAAACATGAGAAAACGCAAAGGCTAAGGACACCATGTCTAAGAAAGTCACTATAGGTCACCATGCATGAGGGGGCCTGCGTCAGGACAACACAACCACTAGATATCAGTACTGCATGCTTCTAAGTATACGCTTCTGGCATGTCAGCACAGTAGGCTCAGTAGGAACGCACAAACCAAAACAAACTAGCTTTCAGTTATTGCCATGCCAATCCTTGGCCCCCAAACCTTGTGCTGCCTGTCTTCGGGGCTTGACCCTCCAAAATCCCCAAATACCCGTTAAAGAGATATTCACGAATGGCCCACAAAAGCAAAAGGCGACCTTAAGCAAAAGAACTACCAAAAAAAGCCCACCCTGAAACCTCAGATTGCCACGCAGGCACTGCCACGAACACTGACACGGCCACCAAAACGGCAATTTCACTCCGGAAGTCTCCATACTTGGCCGGCGGGAACATGCCCAGAGTCATCTGCCTAAAAGGCGACTATAGGGCTTCCAAAGGAGTTTGATGAGCTTTGTAGGGTTTAGCAGGGGTTTAGGCTTTAGAACCCTGAGAAAAAATATTGGTAATTATTTAGGCGTCTACATTAAAGTCCCAGCAAGGGTAGCTGCAGAAACAGCGGGCCCGGCGCAGGCCTTAGGTCATAGGATCCTTGCTACAGCTACAAGGACTCGCAGCTCGGGGACCTTTAAGTGCAAGAAAAGCGCTTAAGGCCTAGGCAAAAGGGACTTCAGGGCTTAGAGTGTAGGGCTTCCCTCGGAAGCCCTCCTGAAGCCCTTCCCAACAAGCCTGACCCAATATCTCCTTTGCATCACCCCATCCCCCCCTCTCCCCTTTTTATAAAAAGTCCCAAACCCAGAACCCACAACTGCTCTCTACTCTCAACACCCCATCACACAACCCAATCTATTTCCCGTGTTCACAGCACCAAGGACCCTACCCAAACCCTATGCCAACCCCCACGTCCCCCCCCAAAAAAAAAAACGCAAACCCTTCACTACCCGCTTCCATAGCCCTTCAAACCTAGCCCTATAAAAAGCCAAACAAAAAAGCAAACCCTTCAATACCCGCTTCCATGAAGGGCTCCAAAAAAGGGACGCTGCTTAAGGCAAAGGGCAGTAAGCCCGTGAGCCAGGGGCCGACGCCATCGAACTCGGCCAGTCGATGATTCAGCGAACCTTAGTCGCTTTCAGCTTAGGGTTTTAGGGGTTTAGGGCTTGGGGTTTAGGGTTTTGGGTTTTGGGGCCTTGAGGGACCTAGAGGATTTTGAGAATGGTCTCCGAAGCTTACACAAGTATTATACCTGTTTCTTGGGATTTTAGGATCTGCCTGCGGAGTGGAGGTTTAGGGCATTACGTGCTTCAGTCTTTACGGGTTTTGCTAGTTTGGTGGTTCAGGGTTGCAGGAAGGATGCTTAATTGATTTAGGGTTAAAATGGCTTGTGGGTTTGGTGATGTCGCGCTTTGGAGCCTCGGCCTTAGTTTGGGCCTCGTGCACAGGCTGTACGAAACAGTCTGCACCCTTGAATGGCGAAACCGGGGCCTCCAAAAAAAATAGAATGCCCTGTCAATTTTTGGTGGGGGGTTCGTTGTCATCGGTTTATTGTTGCGTCCTGGTTTGAGGGCCATGTGAAGCGATCCTGACTGCTCTAGATCACCCAGAGAAGACTTCAAAGAGGGCTTTCACGGCCTTGAAGGTTTAGGGCCTAGGGTACCGTTGGGGTCCCTGGTTTTCGCATGCTTTAGGGTTGAGGGAGGAGCCGCTGAGCTCCCCTCCATGGAGTGAACGGGTTCCCCCCCCCCCCCGTGCCAAGTGGGATAAACTACACTCCAAGACAAACAACCCGAATCACAATGGCACTTCTATCTCCTACTGACTCGACTAGGAGGTGTCAGTGGGGTCCGTCATACACATCGCAAGTCAGAGTTTAGAGAATGATGATAGTCCGGGTGGTTGGAAACCATTGTCGCAAACAGAAAAGTTGAGGATAGTTTAGGGCGTCTTTCCGTGGATGGCTTGGCACAGTCTTGCTTGTTCAGCTGAGGCGCTAATCGAAGTGGCGAAAGCCAGTATGAGGAACAACAGCGCCAAAGAAAAGAGTCCGACATCTGCCAGGACGTTCCCGCACACCTGGCCAGCCGGGCTTCATATCTGCCACGCTTCTGGGCTCTTGCGAACCTAAGTGTTTAAGGTTACTACAACATGCAATCAGTATAAATCACATCTTGCCACCATAGATCCATACCATGGTAGCTTAAGGCATCTTATATCAATAACCCGTAGATCCCGAAGCAAACTTCCCAGCAGAAGATCTCTCGTTCGGCAACCCCCTGATTCAATGATTCCCTCAATCCGAACTATCGACTGCTACATCGTCAAGCTTGAGCGCACGGATTCTCGGAGTTTCAAGTAAAGCAGGAAACCTACTATAACCCCCCCAAACGCAGGATCCTTACAATTGTAAGGATCCCTCATGAAGAACCCCATTCAGTTTGAGAAACTCCGAAGCTACAGGCACCAGAAACGGAACCCCGAGTTCTAAAAGACGAGAAAGAACCCCTGCCCTGCTTCCTTACTCTCGGGGGTTTTGCCCTCCTACATAGCAAGGACGAGCCCGCATTGCAGGGTAAGGGGTCTAGGGTTGAGGGTTTGGGGATTAGAAAGAACGTCAGGCCGGGGTGGCCAGCACAAAGGCTGAAATGCGCATGGAGAGAAGGGTGAAGTCCATGAGCAACGCCCAGTACATCATCATGGCCAGGCCTTTCGTGATGACAGGGTTTAGGGTCAAGGGGCCTTGTAGGTTTAGGGCTAAGCTTAGGGTTTAGGGCTCCAAGGTTATAAGGCTCAGGGTTATATACAAGGTGAATGGGTTTCGACTATAGGGTGCAGGGTTTAGGCTTTCGGCGCTCACGCTCGGACAGTCCACGCGGGGGAGCTGGTCTTGAGTCGAGGGAAGAACACACAACAAGATCCCAGCTAAAACATCAGAACCTGTAAGGGGGCTTGAAGGTTTGGAATCCCAGGCCGTTCGAGTGCCATCGTTTAGCGCCTGAGTGGAGGCTTCGGAGTAGATGATCACGGATTCCGCTCGCCCTCTGCTTACTATGTCTCATGAGCCGATTGCTTCTGTCCTACTGACATGTTGTTCCTTTTCACCCCTGTGTGATGCCTGCTGCCCCTTGAAGCGTAGATACAGCTGTCGCAATTTAGGGTTCGGCCTGCTTTGGCGTTAGATGCTGTCCGGTACATGCAGCTCAGGTGGTTTCTTCGTGTAGCCAAGCGGCAGGAGCACATCGAGTAGCTGGTTCTCACATCGTTCGCCTCGTCGCCTTCGCCCGTGGCCATCATCAAGAGGCTTTTCGGCTTTGTGCAATTTTGGACTGCAGTGAAACATGCAATCATGCGGCCCGACCATAATGACAATAGCAGCAGCCAGACTACAGAAACTGTAGATTAGGAGCAACTCATCCGCCTGACATCCAGAGACGATAGCAGTCACCAAGCTACTTTCTGCAGATAGGCAGGGAATCTTGTAAGACCGGCATCCCAAGCGTTGCCGCACACTGTTGGATTCCAGAAGACAGGGAGGGACAATGCTTGTATCGCAATTTGTCATACTCAAGATCCGAAAACCCCGGCTCCATATCTGGGGCTCCTGGTTGCCTGTGAACGTCCCTGTTCGAGTCTTTGCAGAACCCATGCGACTCGCTTCTGCCGGGTGAGGCGCATGTTGCACTCAAAGGGATGGCGGTCGGCCCGTTGTCGCCGAAAGCGATGCACCAAAGAACAGGCTCCTGCACGTACCTGCGCGCGACTCCGAAGCGGGGGGGCTCTGAATGCTTGAAGCTCTACAGGTAGAATGTCCGACCTCGCAAACCCTCCCGGACTCGACAGGAGCAGCTCGGTCTGGCCACGAGGTCTTTCAGCACACATACGACGGGCTTCAACATACAAAATTGGTGCCATGGGATGAGTGAAGGGTTGAGATAGATATGACCGAGAGCGACGTTGAAACAAGAAGACCAACCTTCCCGTGTCCTACGAGTTGGGATATGCGTTCGCTCTGCTATCTACACGACATCTGCTGCGGCTCCTGCTGGGCGTCTAGGTATGACAGCTTACTGCGATTGACAGTCATGGTCAGAATGGCTGTGCACGGTGAAGGTCACGAAAGCGATGCTGTCCGTGCCGAGGGCGATGAGGATGAAGATGAGTGGTTAGCATGAAGAGGCTGAGGATGACAACGGAATTAGCGGTGCGGTGCGTTAACAAACGACCTTCAACGCTGCCACATCGGCGGTGCTATATCAAATTCAACACCTATAACTCCACTTATAACTACCCATGACCCTCCATCTTAGAGCTATTGAAGAGCACAACCTGGCCCAAGGGGCATGAGAATGAGCAGCAGCACCAGGAGTAGGCCGCCCACCTGCTCTGCACAGTTGACAACTGGAGCTCAATGAGCTCAAGTCGCATTTCGGGGCTCCGACCTTCTGATTTCGGAGCTCCGAGGTTTCGAGGGGGGGGGGGGGGGGGGTGCGTTTTGGGAAAACCCTTTTCAGAGTTAGAGGTGCGACGGGCTTAGGGTGTTAACCTGGTAAGATGCGGGGGAGACAGGAGGCAGAAAGGCATAAGGCTTCATAAGGCCGAGGCTTCAGCGACGAGAATAGGGTTGGTCCCGCAGATACAATTGACGGAATTGCCCAGCTGGGGCCAGGGTGCCTCCTTTACGCAAGGGACCGGAGATCTCCCGAAAGACAACCCCTCGGTCATCAGCCTTGAAACCAGCCCCCTGACCGAGAAAGCAGCAAAGTGAGATATGGGGAGATCGTTCCGAGGCAGCAAAGCAAGTGAGCGATGAGTGTTTCGAGCGCAAAAGCATCGAAGATCAGCTTTTGAGCAGGACGCTGTTTAGCATGGAAAGCAAACGCAAAGGCCATGAGCCTGCTGCTCAAGAACCCTGCAGACCACGTGATGAGAATTCGGGTCCAAACTCCACGTCAGACAAAGCCCAGCAAGAGATGCCTCTGTCGATGCCTGTTGCGCGTCTATGCGCATATCTATCTGTCTATCTATCTATCCATCTGGCTATCCAATCTATCTATCTATATGGATACATACATACATACATACATACATACATATATACATACATTCATACATCCATGCATACATACATACATACATACATACATACATACATACACACATACATACATACATGTACCTGCGTGTATGCGTAGATGTGTGCAGCGTGGACTGCAGGAAGACATGCAGAGGTGTTGCTAGTCGCCCTCAGCAGCTCAGGGAGAGGCCTGCTGGGTGCTGTGCAAGTATGTTGGAACCGGCAGGATCCAGTACCAGTGGTAGTCGCCGGCCTCGACGGGGTTTCGGGTTTTGGGAAGTTTGCAGGTGAGGTCCTGGACACGGTGCATGAGGAGTCCTCAGGGTTTGATACCTGAGTTTGTAGCTGGGGTTCCGGGGAAAGGTGAGGTGTAGACAGCGTGGTCTACACTGGTGACTACACCAAACCGGTGCCTTCAGCGCTCCGCAGAAGGTCTTGCAGTGGTCGAAGACCAGCTTGCTCATGCTCCCTGTTGGGCGGTAGCATGCAGTCACGTGTGAAGGGTGTAGTGCAGGGACAGCGGTCCAGAGCTTATATCCATCTTGATCGGCCGCCTAAGGTTTTTGACCATATGTCATCACAACATATCACAACGAGCTCCTGCTCCTGCTCCTACTCCTGCTACGACGAGGACGACGCTGACAACGACTACGAGACTACTGCTGCTGTTGCTACTGCTACTGCCACTGCCACTGCCATTGCTACTGCTGCTGCTGCTGCTGCTACTACGACGACGACGACTTACTACTACTACTACTACTACTACTACTCCTACTCCTACTCCTACTCCTACTCCTACTCCTACTACTACTACTACTACGACGACGACGACGACTTACTACTACTACTACTACTACTACTTTACTACTGCTACAACTACAACTACAACGACGACGACAACAATAACAACAAACAACAAACAAGAAACAAGAAACAAGAAACAAGAAACCAGAAACCAGAAACAAGAAACAACAAACAACAAACAACCAACAACCAACAACCAACAACAACAACTACTACTACTACTACTACTACAACTACAACAACTACTAC